GAATATTCCACGTGGCCTGAGGACTGATAAAAATCCACCGATTGGCCCAAAAGGCAAAGCTGTTCTTCAAAAATAACAACAAATTTGGAATAAATACTCTGGATCTTACACTTTCTGACTATTGAACAATCAAAATCATAAATAAGAACAACAACATGGGTCAACAATGAGACTTTGAGTCGATCACACAAAGATTTCTGAATCTCTGACCACGTTTCAAAACTACAGTCATACTTGGGGGGAGGGGGGGGGTTGTTAATCGTAATAAAGCTGAAAATTGATCAGAACAACTTATTGGCTTTTCAGAGGAAAGTCAGCCAAAGACCAACATTATGGCGCAGTCACCAGACAGTAGCACACATTATTATTATTATTTATATTCCTTAACAAAGAAAAGAAGATAAACAGCCATGCATGAAAGGCCTCAGTATATAAAAACATACAGATTCTGTATACAGCAAATATAGTTTTTCCAACAATAAACGATTTTGATTTTAAATAAAAGGTAAAACAACGAGTGGAGGTTAATTAAACGTGATGAATAGCCTTAGGCAACTGCAAACAGGAAATGTTATGAAAAAGGAAAACCTCTAATAATAAAAGATGAAAACGATGTTAAAATGTCCTCACCTTGAACCAAACAGCAGCTAAAAAGAAGCAGAAAAGATGTCTTCATCCTGCCCGCAAAACAAACCCAACAAATCTGACCAAATATCTTGCTGCTGTAAACTCAATCCGCAATCCGGGATGACAAACGCAGCTCGACAGGTTTTTAACACATCCTGTTCTGCTTCCGCATACAAGCGGTTCGACTTGCTCTGCGGCTGGAAAAACATAGAGGTGGAGCCGTCTGCCCCCTAGCGGCAGAGTCTGGAACTACACCACCGGGGTACAAGGCACAAGGCGCTAGACTAGGATTTAAAAACTTGTTTAAACGCACTCAATGAAATTATTTCCCTGGGTTTCGGCTGGTTTGGGGCTGATTACAAGAGAAAGAAGAAAAATGTTTTCACTAAGTTCTCAGTTCATTCAACAGAACCACGTCATGTTGCAGCAGCTTTACATATCAATTTTTTTTATTATTTATTCCCAGTTCAGTTTATTTATATAGCGCCAAGTCATCCTGGTGCGTGCTCAATAATCCAGGTAAAAAAAAAATCTAACAGAGTCAAGTCAGGTCCTCTGGATGGATTCTTCTTGTTGAAACGTTTTGTCTTTTATCCAAAAGACATGTTCCTGATTTTAGTATTCTACACTGCCTTACAACCTAGCTGTTTATTTATTTTTGCTACTTTTCTTTTCATTATCCTTTTAATTACCATTTTATTTTCACTTATTAAAGAAATTAATAAAAAAATTAAATGTGTACGCATCCTTTATGATTGTCTATTGTTGTCTTTGTTGTCCATCATTCTTTGTTAAAATCAGGTCTCTCTTGTAAATGAGTCCCAGAGGCTCAATGGGACTAACCTGTCTAAATAAAGGTTGAATGAATGAAACTTTGTCAGTCTGAGGAGCTGCAACATACTCAGTCTTATGAATATCTCCTTCTCTTGGGTGTCAAACCCACTTGCAAAAGGGGGCTGAAATTAAAACCTTTTTCAAACTAAGGGCCGGTTTCAGAATCTACATCAACTCAAGTTAGATACACAACATCTTTTCTTGGTTGCAGGTTCCTCAACAAGAGTTCGATTGGTCTCATTTGATGTTCTCTGTTGCACTTTTGACATCATAATCAAAGATTACTGACATTTTTTTTTTTAAGTGATGAAAGTATTTTACATTTAAAATAACATCTTGGGGGGCAGATAAGATGTCAACAAGGGCCACATTTGGCCCCGGGACCTTGAGTTTGACACATATGTCTTAATGGATCAACAAGTTTGCTGGTGACAGCCAAAACCAGCTGTTTCACATGATAAAAGAGGACCATCAGCCTAACAATGGATCATTAGCACACTGATGGCTGTTTACTATTCACAGAGGGCTGAGTGATACTAGCAATCACAGCATTGTAAGAGGGGGACAGTTGAACCCGGAGGCCTCCACCCCTGTTTAATGATGGACGATTTCTTTTCACAAAGATGGCCTCCTTTACTCCTCTCTCAAACCATCGTTCCTCTCTGTCCAGGATGTGAACATCTTCATCCCTGAATGAGTGACCGCTGGCCTGGAGATGAGTGTAGACCACAGAGTCCTGGCCTGATGATGTTGATCTTCTGTGCTGGGCCATCCTTTTGGCCAGTGGCTGTTTACCCGATGTAAGACTGATCATCTGATCATAAAAGACGAAGCGTTTCAAGAAGAAGAGTCTGTCCAGAGGACTTTACTTTGTTAAAGCAGCCTTACATCTTTTTTGAAGGATGTAGTTTTGTAGACAGAAAGGGAGCAGGTCAAAATAGCTTTGTAATTGGGAATATGTCAATATTCTACCAAAAAAAAAAAAACAAACTAAAGCAGAGCATCAAATGGAGTACAATATCAAAATTTATAAAAATGAAGCAATAGGTAAAATACCTTCCATTTGTGATTACACACTTAGGTTAACGCCACTCCCTCTGCCTCAAAGATCAAAGAGACTTCACTTCAGTGGTTTTGGGCGTGAACTCGTCTGGTAGAACTTGCTAAAGCAAATAATCCTGAGTTTCATCAACAAGACAGACAAATTTACTTATTTTAACCTAAGCACTGAAAAAGTAAGATGATCAACATTGTATTTTGACCAGGTGGTGGAGAAACAGCCTTTTGTACACACATAATTATTATTATTATTATAAAAAATTAATCCAATCAGAAATAACCCAAATCTGTACAAAAAGCCCTCAATCAAACTTTTTTATGTTAAATCCCATGTTTGCACATAAAACTTTGCACAGATCATAGTGGACACCTTGTTGTGTATGGTAAATGTTTTTTTTAAATTGCTCATATGAACTATTTTACGTTTCTGTTTGCATTTTTGCACAAATTAATAAACCTAATTTTATCAGCTGCTTGTATTTCTGCATTGAACATTTTTTCTTCAGCTTTTTTTTGTTTAGATTACCTATGTGTTTTTTTTTTAATCAGCTGCTGCTTTCTTGCAAATGACCTGCTACACTTTACAGTATTTTTATGTTATTTTCTCCTGTTCTCTTGTCTTGATTAATGTCTACTTTTTTCTACCAGCTGACCTTTTGTTTATGTCACGAGGCAAATTATTGTGAAACAATTTCTCTTAAACTTGAAAATAAACCTTTTCTGACAACTTTAAGGGTGGACATGATGATTTATCTCACATCAAGTGATGTCATTATATGACTTTACCAGCAGAGGGCAGAATTGATTAATAATAATAATATTAATAATAATGATGATGATAATAATAATAATAATAATAATAATAATAGATATCTCGTGTTTCCAGATGTGAATTTTCATGGGGAATCACTAATAAACACTAAAATCTAGGGAGTAAGTGCCATTTATCAGTCATTAGACCTTTAAGTCTTGACTCATATTAACAAATATTACTGTCATTATAAGTGAGACGTGCAGCAGCTTCAGAGATGGGATAATGATCTAAATGTTAATTGGATGTGTTTTACATCTCAGCTGGGTGCGGGGGACCTGCGGCTTGTTGTAATGAATATGTTTTAATTGTGGCAGGCTATTTGACATTTGAAAAGTCCAATGATCCCTCTCAATTCTTGACACCCATTTGCATTTCCATCTTTAAGGTCAAACTGGTATGAATAATACATTAAGGAGGTTCTTAAGCTCACAGCCAGCCGTACCTGTCCTCACAAAGGCACCAGCTGAGCCATAAGCTCAGTGAATGTTACAGAAACAATCAATTAATATCACTTTAGGAAGCCACACGTGAAGCCCGCGCAGCTTCCTGTTATTAGTGGGACTATAAGGTCATGCAGTCAATAGCAGATTTAAGAATCAGCTCGTTCTGATTATGCTCGTGCAGTGTGTTGATCTGAACAGTGACAGAAACTCATCTGTTTTTATACGTACTGTGTGTGATGTGATCGGTCTCAACGTTTTCTGTGGACAATGTGTGAAATAAAATGTGTAACCTGGAAAAAAAATCAAGATCAAAGGAGAAGGCATAAAAAAAATAAATAAAACAATCTTGGCAAGAGATTGGAAGAATTTAATGAGCAAAAATTACCATGCATTAAATCTGACCTTGTGCTTACGTGGCAGATGTTGAGCAGCAGCATCCAAACAGATAAATGATGTGAGGGGAAACTGGGAACTTAACACACCTTGCCCTTTTTCTTTTAATTTTTTTTTTGCATAAACAAATTTGGTTGTAATACTCTATAAACGTTTTCGATTTTAAAATAGTATTTTCAACAGTAAAGTTCATGTGAGATTTTAACTATATAATGCAGGAGCAATCTTGGTGTCTGGGCTTCATTATAGAGGCAGAGTCAGGAGAAATGAAGGTTTTACTGAATGTATTACCTCGACAGGACAGATTTGCTGACTGTTTTGACAACTCATTACCAGTAATTTCACTGACGGATGGGTGAGGAGGCTCAGGCGGTCGTGGAACCACTCATTGTATGGCATGTGTCTGAAATAATGTAAAACAGAAGGGCAAAAAAAAAAGCATAGCTATTATAGCTAATGATTGTTTAAGGTAGAACAGGATAGAATTGACAGTTTGGTGCCAATATCAGGAGCCCAAAATGGAAACACACCCTCGTTCCACCTGTCTGCAGCTTTATAAGCCTATAGAAGCAGCACGGCGCCTCAGTGGTTAGCACTGTTGCCTCATAGCAAGAAGGTCCTGGGTTCAATCCCCAGGTGGACCTGGGGGTCTTTCTGTGTGGAGTTTGCATGTTCTTCTTGTACTCGTGTGGATTTTCTCCGGTTTCCTCCCACAGATCAAAAACATGCATGTTAGTCTGCCTTCAGGTCCAGGCCTCCCTTGCAAGAGCTCTGTGATCTCAATGAGATTTGCCTGGTTAAATAAAACTAAATAATAGAAGAGACATGGGCAACTTAAGGCCTGAGGGCCAAAAGTTGCCCCTTGGACAATCTCCATCAGGCCCCCAATATCCTTAGTTAAAAACAAAACAAAGACTTAAGGACATTTAAATTAAACATCGTACGCAAAACTTTTTTGAAAACATTTTTTTAAGTTGATGCCGTTTCCAGAACTAGACCGAACCTAAAGACTTACAAATACAAATATATAACTTTGTTTTGCATATGTCTGCTAACTTGTAGGGCTATTCAACAAAACTGCTCAGGGGGCCACAGTTTCTGAAAGCCAACAGCTCGGGGGACGGACATCCACCGATTAAAGTGTTTATGTAAATAAACCAAGTTTACAATGTTACCTTTTAATTTGTTTATTTTATTGCACTGAATCACAAATGCAATAAACAGAACCCCAACCCCCCAAATAAAGAAGTGAGCCGAATTGAAGTCACCCACGGGCCTAAAATGGCCCGCGGTCCGTCAGTTGAATAGCCCTCATGCTATTCATGCTAAACTAACATGTATGATATATTGTCACAAGAGCCGATTTACCAAATGTCATTTATTCCTAAATGATATTGGGAAGACATGTTTTATAAAGCATGCCAACTGTGCTACAAGACAACGCCTGAAAAAGATTTCTAGATTATTTTGTCATAAAGAAAATTTAATTTTCCAGTTCTCTGTGGCCCTTTGATTGCATTAAACGTCCTGATGTGGCCTTTTGGAATAAAGTGTTGCCCACCTCTGAAGATACATTTAACATTGTTGGGGTCACACATTGTTAATTAAGGAATATTCAACAAAACATCCAGGTTTGTTTTATCATTCCACATTTCAAATTTACGATTCATCGATCTCCATCATTTAACATTTTCCTTTAGGCGAGTTCTTTGTTAAATCTTCTAATCTAAAACAGTCGGTCCATCCGTCACCTCCAAAGCCACCAAAAACTGTACCTTGTGTATTTTTCACAAATTGAAATGCCTAATGAGGTCCCAGGAGTTCCATCCCATTACCTCTGAGTTAATTAAAGCCAGCGCAGCGAGCCAAACGGTGAATAAAGACGCAGTAAAAAGTGCAGGAACGGGGACGGTGCTGCTGACCTGCTTTTGTGTCATTGTTACGGGATCTTTAGCTTCCAGGATGGAGCAGATGCCTATAATTTTTTAATTTGGATTCAGCTGGTTCATTTTCCAGTGTGGTTAGCCTAAATTCTGCTTTATGAAACTTTAAAAGTCTGCGCCACCAACAGCAAGGTTTTTACGAGGATGTTCCCTCTTAACTACTGCAGCGCAGTCCCACTGTAAAAATAAATTAAATCAAGTAATCAGGTAGGTTTTATTTAGTTGTAATAAAATGATATCACTCACTACAGCAGGCTGTTATGTTTCTTATTACCTAATGGGAAAATTAATCAAATCGCATAAAACGGAAGGGAAAAAGTTAACAAAACGTGGAAAAACAGACCAATACGTTTTCTTTAAGAAACCATTTCAAATGTTTATTTGACAAAGAAGGGGCACACACTCGTGAATAAAAAAAAAAAAAAAGAGGAGGGGGAGGGTTTGCAATTATTGGTAAAGACTAGGACTTACACATCATACTAATATTAATTAAGTTTTGGCTAAAAAGAAAATGTGTTTTTGTTTCCTTTTGCTTTTATAAAGAAACTTTATGTACATTGGTTCTTTTATACAAGAGGTTCATTGGATAAATGCATCAAAAAGAACCCGGTTCTGCAGTAAACTTTACAAAAAAATACATTTTTGTTGAGAGCTGTAGAAAAGGAGGCAGTCAAATATTGACCAATAATATCTCTTCCTTTTCATTATTTAGAAAAAAAGTTGTTCTAATACCTATTTTAAAGAAAAGCAATTTACAGCACATTGAATGGGGGGGGTGGGGGGGTGGGGGGGGTGGCCTTCTGTAGATTTATTCAGTTGGTTTTGTGACCAAGGAGAGGGGCTGCGACTGGAACAGGGAATGATGGGAGTGCAGGGCGGCCTGATGGAAGGGGGACGGCGGGGAGAGCATGGAGGGGTGCAGGGACGTGAAGGGGATCGGCCGGGTGAGGATGGGCGTGTTCGACTGGCCACTCGAAGTACCAATAGGGATGGAGATGGTGGGCTGGGAGGAAGAGGAGGATGTGGATCCAGAGGCCTTCCCAGGTAAGAAGTGGTGTTGCATGCGTCCCTCCGGTTTGGTGGTGAGCGACAGCGGCTGGGCCTGTTCGGAGTGAGTGGCGGCCGGCGCGGCGGGGGACGCCAAGGCGGCGGAGGGGGTGGCCGGCGAGTCCAGCATGCTCCCGTGAGACGACGCGGGGCTGTCGCACATCTTCTCCGAGGGCAGGTACTGCACGCACTGCTTCTTAGTCCTGATGGAGAAGTCTGGAGGAGACAAACAAAAAGTCAAATTAAAGCTGTCATGCTTAACCCTCTGCTGACCTCATGACAGCTTCAAGGCCCACAACGCCGCAGCGGACAGGGATGAGTGAGATGTGAAAGTTGTCAGACGTGACATTTCTCATAGCGACTGGTCAACACATCACAATGAAGAGAGTAAAACAGGATGTTACGGCAGAATCACATGGCGCGCACGTATGAGTCAAAAAAAGGAACATGACACAATGTACATCGATATGCGTACTTGTTTTTTTCTGATCTGGCCATTTACGGTTGCAAAACTATAAACATACCTGCAACTATGAGCACTGAACCTCATAAGCTGCTTGTCAAGAGTATAAAAGCAGGGCAAAAGGTTAGTAAGCTACAGCGAAGCACAAAAATACTAAAGTAAATGTGTTACATGAGCTTCAGAAGACAAGTAAAGGTCAGACTGCTTAGTTCTTAAGCTTAAAAATAAATGCATAAATGAAGGCAGCCAGGCAGGAAGAAACAAAAAAAATAATTCAGCGGGCCTCTTACCCTCTGGTTTTGAGTCTGGTTTATTCTCTCTCTTCCTCTTTTTCCGCTTTCCCTGCGCAGATATAACAATGCTGTTAAAAACTGTTGCTCAGAGCGGAAGCAGAACCACCTCAACCACTTCAGTCCACGAGATCAAAAGTGCAGCAGCTATATTAATACGTGGACATATGTGAGCAGCGCTAACAGGAATAAAGTAGTCTGACTGGCTGATGAAGGAGCGAACGATAGAAAGCGCGTCGCTCACATAGTTGTCTCGTGCTGACCAGCCGGGATAGAGCTGGGAGTGCAGTTGCCTCTCTTTTCTGGCCAGCTCATAGTATTTGGCTTGCTCCTCTCTCGACAGCGAGTGCCACTGTGGACAAAAGGAGTGTTAAACACATGCGCACACACATTTATAAACTCCCATGCATGTCTGGTTTGGTGCTTCTTACCCGTCGTCCAAGGATCTGGTTAATTGCAGCGCTCTCTTTCAGAGTGCACTCTGCAACCACCTTGGCTCTCATCTCCTTCATATACAGCATGAAAGCATTGAGAGGCTTCTTGATGTGAGGCTTCTTGTCCTCCTCCTTCTTGGCAGGAACGGGAGACTTCCTGCTAATCCCAAGCAATAAGACGAGTCTGTCAATACATGTGTGAACGGTGGCGAAGAGGAAGGGGGGGGGGGGAGGCAATATGCAGGAGCAGAGGGTTTGGACTGCATTTCATTGTGCTTACGCGTGCATGGAGGGACTGATGTTGTCACCGCTGGGTTCCTGCTTGATGGCAGGCGAGACGATGGCGGGGTGGGGAATGCCGGTCTGATGGAGGCTGTGCGGAGGAGGGGTCACCATGTGAGGGGAGAAACGGCTGGACACCAAGCTGGGAAAGGTGAAAAGAGGCAACATTTTACCAGTCAGGATTTGATACAGCGAACCTCCGTCAAGAGCTGACGGGAACAAAATTTGACCCGTTTGGTGAATTATTGCACCGCTATGCCCTCTGGGTAAATTCACTGTGCCTACTGCCTCCGTCTAGACTGAATTCATACGCACAATGTGTACCGCGCTTGCTTTTTTTTTTTTTTGTTCAAATAAAGACTTTTTCAAAAGGCCCTTTATTCACCAACGACTGAAGGAAAGTGGAGTGTGGTGTTGCCATGGTGACAGCATGGCCGTGACACCCGAAACCTTTCTCCTTACCACTTTCCAGACCACGGCGAGCGCTCTGACAGCCTTCCACATAAAATACCTTTACAAAGTGTCTCACAGTTTCTGATTGTTAAAGCAAAGCAGCGTCGTGTCGCACAAAGGGGGACATTAATCTCCACGCCGTGCGGTTAATGCTGACCGGTGAAGTGTTTCAACATGCAAGGCTGTCATGAGACGCAACACGTGACGTAAACATGTTCTGTCCACTAATGGAAGCATCAACCCATAAAGAAATATTCTGTCAAAGTCAACAAGGTTACAAATCAGCGTGCAGGCGTGGAAAATCAGGCAAAAGTTGTTGAGGCTTTAAAAGTCCAACGCAAAGAAAACAAAGTGTAAATACTGATTTTAAAATATCTCTGATTAAAATTCACTTTTAACTTGTGTTTTTCTTTAATATAAGCTACTTAATAATTCAAACTGTATAAACAAGTTTGTGTCGTGTAATTCCCTTGACAATAAACTTCATTTTTTTAATAAACATGCTTTTTTCTCCACTAATTGCCTGCAGTGCTGCTCCATGTGAAGGCACTGATAAAGACTGTTGGAAATTATATATTTTATATGTATTCTCAACGTTCTTGGTCATCCCCAAAAGATGTTCGTACTTTTTAAATTTTCCCTCATAATGACAACAACCGGTTCTGTACGTCAAAATAAAAAGTCTTAAGACTAGAAGGATTAATTGCTAATGTTTCAGGTTGTCTTTTTTAATTATTATTATTATTTAATTGATGAACATCTGAGAACACCATGCTGATTAAAAATCTGTTTAATTCAGTATTTTTTTTATATTGAGCCGATTCAAAACTAAAGTCTGAGCACAACACAAAAAGGTAAACGTTTATGGGTAGATCTACAATCTCACGGCAGTGGTACATTTTTAGCACAACATCAGCAGACCCATAAAATCTTGACCACAATTCTATTATAGCTTTAAAAAGAACATCAGTAATGACAAATGCAATCAATCATCTAATTGTTGTTAAATGGAGAACTTTACATTAGACTCTAGATTAGAAAACAATAGCCTACATAACTACATCTATTTTATTTATTTTTTTATATTATAGTGTTTTTACTTTTGCTCTGGGAAGCAAACCAACATTTTGATGTATTAAGTTAGTATTAGTATTTTGTGGTATTTAGTTAGTATTAGTATTTCATTGTATTTAGTTAGCATTAGTATTTTGTTGTATTAAGTTAGCAATAGTATTTCGTTGTATTTAGTTAGTATTAGTATTTCGTTGAATTAGTTTGTATTAGTATTTCGTTGTATTAAATTAGTATTAGTATTTCATTGTATTGAGTTAGTATTAGTATTTCATAGTATTTAGTTAGTATTAGTATTTCGTTGTATTTAGTTAGTATTAGTATTTTCTTGTATTAAGTTAGTATTAGTATTTTCTTGTATTAAGTTCGTATTAATATTTTGTTGTATTAAGTTAGTATTAATATTTTCTTGTATTAAGTTAGTATTAGTATTTTGTTGTATTTAGTCAGTATTAGTATTTCGTGGTATTAAGTTAGTACTAGTATTTTGTTGTATTTAGTTAGTATTAGTATTTTGTTGTATGCAGTTAGTATTAGTATTTTGTTGTATTAAGTTAGTATTAGTATTTTGTTGTATTAAG